ATGTAAACACAATAACTGGGAGAAAAAAAGCAATCGGTAGCGATAGGTATAATTTATGGAAAGGCGATGAGGGGCTGAACGAGCACATCTATCACATTCCCGCAACGAATTGTCAGAGCTATAAAAACAGACTTTTCACTATCTTGAAACAACCTCGAAGGGATGAGTGATTCCGTTAAATACCGATGAAATTTTCTATGGTAGTTTTAAGATTTTTGGTATGGTATTTATGGTACTTTTTATACTCACGCAAAAGAGCAATCACAAAAGCGAAGCATGAGAATTCGCGTAACCAGTGGCTTAGAATGGTTCTAGAAAAACATCAAATCAACCGCTGCTGCTCCTATAGGAAGCCTGCGATTACTGTCCATACGTCCAACAAAAATGTTCATTTAGCCAAGTGTGATCCATGCTAATGAACCGGAGGGGAAATCTTAAAGGCAAAAGTCAGGCTCGTGTTTCGGCATTATGGCACCTGATATTGAGTTTAGAGATGGGAGGTGGAACGATAGTGAAGAAAAAACGAAAAAAAAAACTGTCGACAACACCTAAATAGAAACCCATTCCTTCTAGCAGTGAAGGAGATTTGCTCGGGGGAGAGTCACGTCCAAACGAGTTTTCTGGATATGCCAGCCGTTCCATCGGTTGATACGGCAATCAACTCAGCTGATCTCACACGTTAGGCCAGCCACGCACCACATCCCATGGTGGGCGCGGGGCGGAGCGCTTAATGCATGCCCTGGGGCGTTATTACGGCGCCTTTTGAGATTCTGAGCATGGCAACGTCCCTGTGGGTGCGTAGCCATGCACATAGACGACTAAAGTGATTGGTTTGGTCCACTGAGCCTGACTCGTGGCTTTAACAACGGGTCACTCATCACAACAGCGCCAATGACACAATGACACACTCAGCCTTCGAAAATGACTGTGATGAAGTGGAAGACTGTGCACTCTGTCATTCTACTCTTCAGTGGTCAACATGTGATTTAGATCGGAGAAACTGGGAAACAATTAGGTGTGCGTGTAAGAGAAACATTTGGCTAGCAAAAGAAGGGAAAGCGCGAATGCATCTTCTTGGTAAACACAGTAGGGAAAGTAATGCTGGCAATGATTGCACACACTCAGGGCCGATACTAGCTTACGAAAACGATATCGGTGCTAGAGAGGTCCTTGAAGCTTTCTAAGGCGACGCAATCCTGCATGAATAACAGGAATGAATGCATCTCCACGACTGCCGATTTCTTGCCCTTCACCCCTCTTTGCGAGCTACGATAAGGGGAAAGTAGCGCTCTGCGCGTAAACTCTTGATAAGCAGTGCGGCGCAGACAGGAGCATCAACTTAAACTTTGAAGCGCCGAGTTCAAACACAATAGTTTCTGTAGTCCCGAACACGGACTACGCAGCCAAAGGCACGATTCGACTGCTAGCAAGAGGGCGGAGACCAGGATAGGAGGAATAAAGGCGTCGGCACATGTTCAAGTCCTTTTTAGCGGCTTTCCAAGGCAGTTTTCTGTTCACTGACACTTTTTGTATTTTTGACTAGGGGTAACGCATCATTTCCACACCAAAAATTCCGAAAATGGGGGCCCTGCCGGGATCGTTGCTTCAACAAAATCCACCGGAAATGCGGACTGGTAGAGCAGCAGCTTACGGTCCTACAGAATTTATCATAGTGGTTGCCATTAAATTTTATAAAGAAAAATATATTACTCTAAAATTCAAACTATTTCGTAAAGACAAACAGTTTCCATCGCTGCAGGACCTTGTCGCCGTCGTGTTGAACATTTTCGGAGAACTCGAGAAGTTGACGAATTTCAGGTAGCATATCTTCAAAGTACTTCACATTTTGCGCATAACGAAACTCGAGGACTATAAATTGTTCCTTGAGCTCTTTCAATCTGAAAAAGGGCTGTTTGTCTAAATTCAGTAGTTGTAGCCTGAAAATTACAATAAGTGGAAGCTTCAGACGTAGTCTTGTGGCTGAACATTTTGGGCCCATAGAACCCTCACTCAAGTCGGAATTGTTCTCTGAAACTCGAAATCATCGGCAGGCAAAGGAGAGGTCGCTCCAAAAAAGACTTAGGGCAAATTCACGATGAAAAGTTAGCTCATTGGAAATAAGGGTAGAGGTGGTCAGTGGAGCAGGGATGAAGAAGAAACCATTTGAAACGGCCCGAAACCCGAGAAATGGGACCCCTTCCTTGCCCGTTGATTTGCGCATTGATGCGACTCTCATCGCTGTGCCCTCTTCAACACTACGCTCTCTCTGCTATCTAATCACTCGCCACGTATAGACCTGCGGCGAGTGATTAGATGTCGGTGGGCGTACCCCGCCAACCGCGCCAAGAGTGAGCCATGCTAGATCGAGGTCAAATCTTTCGCTGCCAATTGCGCGTCGGTCAGCACCCTCAGGAGGTCCGCCTGTCTCCCAACTATGCAATTTTCCCCTTCTTTGACCTTCGTTCTTATCGTGAATTCCTCCTTTGAGGAGGATGGAAGAATGGGTCTACAGTTCGTAAAAAAAAGTCTGGCAGTGTGGAACAGTGACGAAAACAAAGGGTTGTCTGAAGCTGTAGAAAGCTCTGTCTTGTGATTTTGGAACATACAGTGCCCTGCCAATCCTTCTATTATATAAAGCGCTAACTTTGTGTGTCGGTTTGTG